AGTATCTCCCACACACACAGTTCACACACACACTTACACTAAGGTGAATTTTTGCATTTCTTATTTCCTTCCCAACGACATTTTTATTAAAAGATAAATTGTAGACAGAGCTCTGTGTAAAAAGGAGATATTAATTCAGCTGTTGCCTAATTGCATCAGGGATTTAGGCACACGCTCCTGTCCAATTTGCTCGCACAATTCCCCACAAAAGCCTTCGGCTTGCTTCTAATCTGCAAACCAAGTAAGTTTTTTTTCTCCCTTAAAAGACGCTGGATTTATGTTGGGATTAATAGAACGAGAGAGATGAAGCATCACTCGGACACTCGAGCTCTATCACTCAATTCAATTGGGCATATTTTTCTGCTTTTCTTACACTGCCTTGAACATGCCTGAGTACTTCTGAATTCATCTCTCTCTCACACACACATATGTGTATAACATGTCCGTATAATCACTTGCAGGAACTTTGATGTGACATAACACTTTTTATTAATTACACTATATCACAACAGACTGGTCCACCTTCAGAGAGAAGTCATATTATCACCATCATCACCATCATGAGTCACTATGACCATTTTCACCACGCAACTGTATGACTGTACAAGTTCCCTCTGGTCTGTGTTTCTATGTGTGTTTGTGTGTCTGTATGTGTGTGTGAATTTAATGTGTGTGTGTGTGTGTGTGTGTGTTTGAACCAGCAGGGCACAGATGTGGACATCCAGACGTTTTCTTTCCAGTACCAATAAAAAAAACCCAAAACACTGCTTGCAAAGATAAACGTTCGTGATCTCGATCAGACAGAACACTTCCAGCTTTAATAACATTGTGTGCTTTGCAATACACGTTTCTTACATTTTGAAGAGCATCTGTAGGCAAACAAGTAACATTTTAACACATCTTCCATACACATATTGTCCACCATCCCATTTAAAAATTCTGACAATCCAGAAAACATCCTCTCTTTCTTCCACTCCTGCCACAATAGCAGTGGTTAAACCTTCCTCAACACAAGAAACAAACGGCACAGAACCCCAAAAATTATACCAAAAAATAAATAAATAAATAAATAAAAAATACTGCATATAGCAAATCACAGTTTTCTTCCTCAATGCTATTTTTTTCTATGCAGCAAAGCAGTTTTTGTGGTATTATGTTTTTCAGGGCGTACAGGCTCCAGAAGCATCCAAGCACAAAGTAATCTCAGAGATGACCTTTAAGATGTTTTAGCTCTATAAGCTTAGACTGTGATGCTGGGGTTGTGAGAGAGAGAAGGGATTAAATGTGATATGGATCAAAGCATACTCAAAGTTGCGATGTGTATCTACTGTATGAGATATATGCTTTGGTCCACTGAGTCACGTGGTTTAGCCCAAACTCAGCGCAAACTACGTAAAAGTGAGGAGAACCAATAAAGGAAAATATCAGTTACTATTGCTGATATACCTGTGTGAAAACCAGGCTTTAGTAAGTTGCGTAGAGAAGAAGGCTGATTTTGGAGTCATAAATAAAGCAATTGACTGATTCCATAAATCTTAGCTGCCATAATACACACCACAGTCCTACATGACTGGGGAAAGCCATTTATCATGAATTGGTGAACAGCGACAACAAATCAATCGGTGATTCTCGTCTTGAATCTCATTGCATTTGAACTTGAGTCTAAAACCCAGCCTCCAGATCCCTCCTGACTCACTCTGGCATCAATCAGCCTTCTTCACACACACACACAGACACAAACACAACACACACAGACACGCACGCAAACACCCCCGAGAGAATGTGCAAGCATCACTCGGAATCCCGGGGGCTGCTGTATGTCATCTTGTGTATTTGTGAGTCCAGTGCAGCTTCCCATTTCTCTGCCCTCTACTTCAAAAACAAAGGAAGAAAATAGTACAATCTAGATACCGACACAGTCTGGGACACAGTAGTTAGTGATGCTTATTTCTTTCAGCAGCTTATTCACATTTGTACATTTGTATTTTTGTTCATTCCTCTTGCTGTTATTTCATTTTACAAAAAGAAAGAAAGAAAGAAAGAAAGAAAAAAGGAAAAGTAGCACTTCTAAAGACCAAAGTTTAAGACTATCACATACAGTATAGGCAGCATAGAAGAGGAAAGTTGGTTGAATAGTCTATTTTACAGTAGGTCACTTGAATAAGAGAGAGAAAGAAGTCTGTGATTGTCAGTCCCTCCTCGTCTGAGGTGTCTGGTCATACAGCAGTTGTTGTTTTTCCCTTTATTTTTTATCGTCTCCCCTTTGCTGAAATCTCTGTGATGTGAGGCATCAACGCGAAGTCGATCTTTGCTGACCAGTCTTCGTCTTAGCAAACACCTCTCTCACAGCCTCTTCCTCTCACAGCGACTATCAAAACATCACCGCTGTCCAACTTGACACAGTTCATTACTTTGTTAAAAAAAGAAAGAAAAGGAAACACAGCGGGTACGTGCACACACGGTGCAGCCAGCTGAACTTGTTTCTTCAACGTACGCTACTCTTTTGACACCAGAGGCGTTCTCATACGCACTGCATTGGTTTCTCACAGTTAGGTTTTTTTTTATTTCCAGCTCACACACAGGCCCTCACATACCATGCCCTCTGTTATTGCACAGAGTTATTGTGTGGCAAGTTTTTGAACGTGTTTGCGAGTGTGCTCACTCAGTGCAAACTCTACTTGACTGTACAGCAGGGATGGATTCTGAGAGCCTTGTTAGTGCGTACTGTCGATGCTTCTTCCATTAAGCCTCACACTTAGCGCTGACAGGTGACAATAATTTCGCAATATGTCGAGCTAAATCTAGAAAAGTGACGGACTGATGAAACATCCATCCCTGTTGTGCAGCGGGCTGCACGAAGAGGACAGGCATAGTAACTGTTTAGAGGGAGCCTGACATAAAAATACATATACACTCAAGATTATCTTGCTAAAATGTAATCAACTAAACCAGCGTTCAACTTCAGTCAAGTTGTAGTTGCAAAAGGCAACTTCAGTTATAGAAAGAAATGTACAAAATGCTTCTTAATTTATAAATAATAATACTAGAAATCAATAAAATCAACATTTTCAAAATCCACAAACACCAATACCATCAAGTGCTGTTGTTAATAAACAAGAAGACATCGAATTAAAAATGGCTGTAAGTGAAACCGCAGTGATTATGACTGTTTTTTTTTTGTTTGTTTTTTAGTTTTTTGTATCTCATATATCTGTAAAGGATAAATATGCCCCAGTAAAATGCAAAAACCAAACACAGAATGTGTCTCCTTGCATGCACGAGATGCTGTATATACAGTGCGTCTGTAAGCTTTCAGATATCTGAGCTGTACTGTAAGTGAGTGAAGTGTTCTCAATAATGGGGATGTGTGGTACATTATTGAGTTTATTTTCGGTTTAAGCTGTTGGTGGACTGCCAGTAAAATGTGTGTGGGGAAGTTTGCATGTGTGTAAAATGTGGTTGAGGCAGCTGTAGGAATGTGAGGAGAGCGTGAAGTTAAAGTTGTGGCTTACAGAACATCTGCAGGCTACAGTAATGAGGATGTTCGCGCTCACCTTCTCCCCGGGGACATTTACACCTCTCTTTCCGCCACTCTCTCCCTCTGCCTTTCCGCTCAACTGTCTCCTCTTCCTCCTTCATCTTTCTCCACATGACCCATCCGTACCGTCACACTCCCATCGTCTTCTCCTTTCTACCCATTGCTTCCGATCTGAACTCTCTCCCTTCCTCTCCATTTCTTCCCACCATGCGTTATTACCTCTCCTCCCATTTCTCCCCTCTGCTGCTCCTCATTCCGGGCCCCTTACTTTTGTTTTCTTCTCCTTCACCTCTTCTATCCTCTCCATCCTTCCACCCTTGCTTCTCGGCCGTAAAACAATAAGTCTTGAATGTCTGTGAGGAGACTGTGCTAATGGAGCCCATTAGGCTGTAATGAAATATACATTACACCATTACAGAGCACGGGGCCTGGCTAAAGCACTGCACCGCTCAAATAATAAAACATGCACAATTCAATTTCCTTCTTGGACAGTTTTGAGTGACTTTCAGTGTGTCTGTGTGTGTGTGTGTGAGGATATAGCAATGGAAGGATGATGGGATAAAGTATACACTGTGTGTGTGTGTGTTCTCGTGTGCATCCCCTGTAGCGCAGATGTGGTTTTCAAGGATGTCTAAGTGCTGAGAGCTTTGATGATTTAATATGGGTTGACCAAATGAACCACACCTTCTACAATGCCGCCACCCACACATCTGACCGTCATCTGACCACTCAAACCCCGAGCCTCCCCAGGCAACCTTTACGCCTCCCTCCCCAACGCCATGATCTCGCGATTGTTGGACAGCTGTGGACAAATGAATCAATTGACCTCTGACATGAGCGCTTGACATCACAAGGTGAAGCATCTGTCACTTTAGGGGGTTGGGGAGTAGTCCTCATGTTACCCTGTGCTGTATGACAGTGCAGTACAGGCCTGAGTAAAACAACAAACAAGAGCGGATAATGAGCAGCTAATGTAGATCAGACACTTTTTTTTTTTTTTACATTTGATTACTCACGATTAAATATCGCACAATTCCTCCGCCATACTCCTGAATTATTCCGTCACCACGCATTTCAGATCAGCCTCAGCTGCCGCTGTTTTGGGTTTTTTTGCATCGGCAAAATTGGCCGACCAGAAATGATCTTTTCATCACATCTCCTAATTTTGTGTGACAGGAAAGCAGATTCTGTTTACTGTTTTTTTTCTCCAGTCATTATTTGGTCACACGCAATTTACTGTATGTGTACCAACGTGTTAATCATTGCCTGTGTAGTCTTGTTGGATGGACGCAGACGTTAATACTGATATGCATTTGTGAGAGACAGACAAAAAGACAGACAAACCGACAGGGTGGGCGGGGAAAACACAGTGTCTTTATGGCTCGACATCTCTCAGAGCCATTTCCTTCGCCAGTCTCATATTTACACGCAAAAGATCGAAGCTTCCGGAAATCCTCCCTCGCCACGGCTCCTCGAAATTTGCAAATGTTCAAACGAGTCCTGTTGTCCAACAGGCAGCAGGGAATGAGTCATTTAAAAGTCCTTTAAATTAGGTTTCATCAGTTTAGCCCCAGTCAGTTTAAAGCATTTGAAAATAAGTGAGATGCTGTTGTTTTTTTTGGGTTTTTTTGTTTTTCTTTTTACTCCAAAGTTAAATTACTCTTAAATGTCTCTTCGGTAAGGAAGGGGGATGGAAATGCATAAAGGAGAGGACATCGGCAGGGAAGAAAGAGGCGATCGGGGATCAGTTGAGGAATTTTTTGATTGCCTTTGAGAGTTTAATAATAGCTTCACATCCTGTACAGCGGCACCTTGCACACACGCACACCTGTATGAGCTTCGCACCCTGCAGCTCGCACACACACGCACGCAACCACAAATATGCATTCACGTTCACATTCAGCGACCATCCCCACATAAATGCACACATGTCGCGCACACACACAGCTAAAACCCTTCTTCAGCCTCCTTCTGCGTTCAGCCCAGTATATCCAGGTACACAGGCGAGGCCTTGGCCAGGTTGAGGAGCAGACTGTGGATTTCTTTAATGTTGAGACGCATGTGTGGCTCTCTCTGCCAGCAGCCCAGCATCAGGTCATACACTTCTTTAGGACAGGTCCTAGGGCGCTGCAGCACCCTGCCCTGGGTTATACACTCTATCACCTACAGAGCGAAAGAAAGACAAGCATCAAGTTAATTGTGAGAAGAAGCCCCGTCCCATTTAGTAAAGAACAAATCAGAAAAAATAAATTCAGTGTTCAAACTCCGGTTAAGATGATGGAGCATCTGCTCTGCCAAGTGAAAATGTCACAGCGAATAAATTATTTACTGAACTCGAGAAATAATATGCCAGAGAAGTCTTCAAGACAAAGTCTGCAATTTCTCTACACCAGCGTGAGGGGAAAGTCAGATTTACAACATGCATGTGTAAACACCTACTCATTAGATGCACCTTGCTTTTACCTTCAGAACTGCTTTAATTGTTCATTGCACAGATTCAACAAGGTGCTGTAAACATTCCTCAAAGAGTTTGGTCCATTTTGACATGACAGCATCACACAGTTGCTTCAGATTTGTCAGCTGCACAATCATGAAGTGAATCCGCTGTTCTAGCGCATCTCAAAGTTGATCTATTGGATTGTGATCTGGTGACTGTGGAGGTCAGTGACACCAGGGGTACAATGAACTCACTGTCAAGTTCAAGGAAGCAGTTTGAGATGATCTGAGCTTTATGACATGATGTGTTATCTGCTGGGATCAGCAGGCAGAAGATCACCACATTGTGATCATAAAGGATGGACAGGGTCAGCAACGATACTCAGTGAGGCTGTGGTGTTTATACGATGTTAAGGTGCTGAAAGTGTGCCAACAAATTATCCTCCACACCCTTACCTGACACACAGCAGCCTAAATCATTGATACAAAGGATATGTCCATGCTTTCATGTAGTTTGCACCAAATCAACAACACAATGTGTTGTGTTGTGTGAGGCCTCTTCTGCATACTTTAGTTGTAATGAGCATTTACTTGAGTTGTTAGCATTCTGGCCATTCTGCTCCAACCTTTGGCATTAACGGTGCAGCTCACTTGGTTTTCTATTTGATCCCTTAGAAAAATTCTAGTGGATCAGCAGGTGTGATGCTCAGTTTGAGCTTCATCTTGACCATGACTACATGCCAAAATGCATTGAGCTGCAGCGGCCGACTGGCTGATTAGATATTTACATTAACAAGCCCATAAATAAGTGTACCTAACAAAGTGTCAGGTGATTGTACTGTTTGTAGTCAGCACAGGCAGTATTTCAATATCTAAAATTACAAAGGACCCAATCAAAACTTTAAATCCTGTGTAAAAGATATGTGAGCATCACATTTCATTCACGATGCGAGTGAGCTGTGATACAGCAGAGGATAGACAGACATAAAGGGTAAAAGAAGACAGTGAAAGGGCTAAAGGTTAATTTTTTGGATGTAACCAGAGTTAAGGGCTCTCCCAGGGTTCATGCTGGTAAGGCTAAGGTTAAGACGAGGGGTTGAAGGCTGTGACACTGCTGTGTTTTCCGGAAAATTGATTCGAATTCTGGGTTAAGTTGATTTTCTTTGTGTGAGGGAGTTGCTGTTGTTTCCACAATCTGATTGAATTTGAGCAAGTAGATTGTTTAGCCATTTTAAAATGAGTCATTCATACAATTCAGCCTTATTTTAATTTTCCACAGCTTTCTGATAGAGGCAGTTGTCAATTCTGGAAATTCAAAACATCTGAGTGTTTAAAACAAATTATGTTATTTAGAAAAAGTCTATATTACCACGTGTGGCTTTAAGAAATTGCCATTTACTTCCAACTTCATTATACAGTAAGTAAGAGGAATCAAGAAAATACTCTTAATATCTAAAAAATCTAAAAGGCGCGATGTCTAACAACTGCTACACTTCTGCTAGACTCAGGAAAAAGAAACGGCCCCGGCAGATTTTTCATCTGGGTTTTGTTTCTCTTTCTTTCGAGTAGCTTGCTCCATGTCATGAAGTCATTCTTACTGAGTTTCTGTGAGTGAGGAGATGACGCAGAACAAAAGACTCACTCGGTGTATACCTATGAGAAACATGCACACAAAACAGATCAAATATTTAGCCTTACTTTTACTGAAGGGCTGTTTCATCATATCTCGGGGCTGCAACATCTTGTTCAGCATCACTTATTAAAAAGAAGGTGCTTCCAAGGCAATTTTTACAGAACTTTTGTTACTTTAACTTTAATGCTGGAATTACCAGGACTTGGTGATCACTCAACAAATTTAAAAACACTGCAAAAAGTATGTTAATTATTAAGCCAGGTCGTTTATATAATTGTGAATCACAAACGTCTTCGTGCACCTGCAGAAGAAACTATTGCACTTATAATAAAAGTTTGTATACCTCATTATTGGAGAGCTGGTACCAGGGTTGTTTTCCATAGGTGAAGATCTCCCAGAGAACAACTCCGAGGCTCCAAACATCACTTTCTGTTGTGAACTTCCTGTACATGATGCTTTCAGGAGGCATCCAGCGGATGGGCAGCATGGTATGACCTCCAACCTTTGAAAGCACACACACAGAGACACAGTTACACACAGAAAGTATGAAGTACGGTCGGATTGTGAAAGCTGAGAAGCATCTTATATTCTGTTTCCCCGCCCTGCATCAAGGAATAAAATGTCTGCTGTTTGCCAGAATATATCTGACATTAATTGACCTTAAATTTAAGTTCAAAAATACCAGTAAACAATATTACTTAATATACGCTGGCTTCTCTACTTGTCGATGAACAGTCCACTCCAACTGCATTGTACTGTTACGTTGTTACTGTTACTCAGGCGTCGGTCAGTAAGGCAAAAAGTCAAAAGGAAAGCGCAGCTCACTAGCTGGAAACACCACAAGACACTCAGCTCACTAGCTGTACCCACACAAAATGGCACTCTGGGCTTAAATACCCTTAATTGCTGATGGGAGTCAGCTTTACAGGAGGGAAAGGTGGCATCTCAGGCAGGGGAGGTAGTGGGACACGCCCACACAGGCACCCTCAGGAGAGAGAGAGAGGCTAGGGCCGTAACAGTACTCACAACCCATTGCCCCCAAAAGACCTTCAACCTTTATACCATCAACACAAATAATGGCATCATCCATTTCAAAGAATGGAATAAAATCCTTCTTGCGATGCCTATAAAAAGAAAATTTGGTTCCTGGAGCCAGGAGGGCTTTTTCACTGAATCTAGACCCAAACAAGTCAGACGCTTCCTTTGGCAGATACAAATCTTACATTAAATCATTTAACTCTGGCTGAGATAATAAAGCGATGGACGTTCAAAGTCTTCATTACTAAAATGTCATAAATCTGGAGACAAAACATCATCAGACTCATTCATCTGAATGTGGTACATGTCTTGTCGCTTATGGCAGGTTAGTGTAACAGATAGATGATTTTATTTTGAACTTTATCCAAAAATATCAATCAGAGTGATTCTATGACTTCATCCGTACCACTAGAATTTAAATTTATTCAATTTAACGGCGTTAGCGGGAAGTTAGTTCGCTAGTTTTGCTAGTTACCTAAACCTAAACATGATATAGCATGTTCTGACTGAGTGATTTCTGAAAAAATTAAAACATACAGCTCTGATATCACTTCCAACATAAATGAAGACAGAAAACTAAACAGCAGTGACTTTTGTAGGTTACTGAAGTTGGACTAGCTGGTATATAACAATGTGCTACATGATCGCTAGCAACACAGCTATGTTAGCATAACATAAACAGTGAAGCTGGAGATGAATGCTGTATTTGTATAGCGCTTTACTAGTCCCTAAGGACTCCAAAGCGTTCAGTCATCCACCCATTCACACACACATTCACATATTGGTGATGGCAAGCTACATTGTAGCCACAGCAGCCCTGGGGCGCACTGACAGAGGCGAGGCTGCCGGACACTGGCGCCATCGGGCCCTCTGACCACCACCAGTAGGCAATGGTGTGCCCAAGGGCACAATGACCAATGATCGAGCCAGGCTCAAACCAGCAACCTTACGATTACAAGACAAACTGCCAACTCTTGAGCCACGATCGCCCCATATGAGGTTAGTCATTAATATACTGCAACAACATGGGAATAGAGCAACTGTGGGAGAATTCAACATTAACAAATCAATGGTACAGAAGTGGAGGAACCATGAGTAAAGTTTGACTTATCTGATCTGTATGAAAACAGATTCATCGACAGTGCGCCTTATATAAACTGCTTCATATCCCCTTAAACAACAACTGCACACATATACAGCTGAGCTTACACATGGATCACATCAGTTAAACAACCACAGCTAAATTCATTTATTGGTGTTTATGAACAGCTGATTTTGCCATCTCATTACTTACAGTGATACAATGAAGATAAAAAAGAATAACATGAAAATGTGTCATGAATACATATGTGTTTAATGAATTTAATGAATTTAATTAAATTGATTAAATTATAATGAATCTTCTTTTAATCCCTCTTCTTTTATCTCTCTTTTTCCTTTAACGGTGCAAAAATAACCTTATGACAAAACTTGTACGTAATATATTATATTTTCTTTATTAGCTCTTGGCTAAAGTTACGCACTGTGTACAGGTGAAATATTTTCACATTTTTTCCATCTAATAACAGGTTGTTTTTATTAGATTTTTTTCCTGTTACAAAATGTTTTCACTTACGCCAACATCAAGCAAAAGAAGTCTAAAGGTGGATCCAACCCCCCCCCCTTTAAATCTCAAGGTAACAGTTTAAATCTTCAGAGACTCAGAAACCACATCCTAATGAAAATGAGGAATATAAAGACACAAGCAAGCATGATGACAGACTAAATCTACTCTCTGACTGAAAAATCAGGGAGGTCAGACACAGAGTGCGAGCAAAGCATGACTTTCAGAAAAAAAATGGACGAGTGATACCTCCGGATATTTACGAAAGGGCGATAATAACGATAACAGATAATAGTGTTTGACAGCAGCGATATCCAATGCTACCTAAAAGTTAGAATTTTGATTCCAAGCTATTTATTTTGCAAGACATTAAAATTGAGAAAAACAAAAGGAGAAAAAAAGATGACTTATTCAGCAACTAAGTAATAAAATCAAAACGATAAGAACTCATCTCAAATCCAAATGTTTTTTAATAATCACTATTTTAAGAGAGAGAAGTCATTAAATCAAACCAATTACCCATGAGTGAAAAAAACAGCATGTAAGTCACAGAACAACATATTTGGGCTAAACTGAGGTTTCAGGTAACTTTTTTGTTTTTACATGTGAAATATATTAAAATTATAATGAACATTTATCACCTTTTGATAAGATTTTCCACTTATGACTGATATCAAATCAATACCACACAGTTAAGGTTTTACTTTCTTTTGTAGTAACTTGATTTTCTTAATAACCCTGCGTTTTAGACATTCTTACACGGGTTTCCAGCCCAACTCCCTCATAAAGTCAGTTCGATAGAATATGCTGCATTAGTTGCTCCTGTAGCTTAATGACCTTTATGTAACTACACTCTGCAGATTGGCGCTGCAACTTTGGGAAAGCACTTATCAAACTGAGTTGCACTAGTTAAATGTGATAGATAGCATGCTATAGCAAAGCATTAAGTAATGAGTACATTGGTGACTAAGTAGCATATGCACATTCTCGAGAACAGAAAGCATTTGCACATGTGAGCAACAGCATCACGTTTCAGCAAAACCATCCAACATAATGTTTACTTTTACTTGAGTTCCAGAAGCTATAAAACTTTACTGTCCTCTAAATCGGACGTAACTTTTGGTGACATTGCAAGTAAAAGGATGGTGATTGGCTGTAACGGCTGACTTAGATTTCAGGGTTTTAACATTGTTAAATATATTAACTTTTTCATTAACTTCTCAATGAATCAAAAGCAAGCTTAACCTGCTGACAAGATTTGTTCCTCTTACTGCACCTCCCCGCTCACTTTAGTCTCCCCTGAACATGAATCTAGCGACTGATCTGCACTCCACTGTGCTACACAGATAGCACAATCCATTTTCTAAGGTTTATGTGTGTCATTAATGGTTTGGTACCCACACTTGGCCTGGTTCTGTGTTAGTCAGGGGTTATTTAATAGAGTAATAAAATGTGCACTGTCACACAGATAGCCATCAGGTTTAGGTTTACGTCTGGGGAAACATATCTGCCTCCATCTCTGCAGCTCGTGCGCTACAAACCCAGGCCTTCATTTTCTTGCAGTGATGCTTTTTCTCCCTTGTTTCTCTGTTTATCATTTACATTTCTCCATCTGCATGCAGTATGCTAAAGCAGAGTAGAAGGTCCACAATGCATAATATGAATCGTAATATAGAATATAAAATACAAAATGCTTATATTATACACACTCCTACACAATACAGCAGGTTTGAGTCTTTTAGTTTTTTTTAAAATTATTATTATGAAGTGTACAACATACAGAATACAGCAGGATTTTAGTCTAAAACATTCTTGTTGTCTTATTGTGATGCTGTGTTCTCAAAGAGCTCTCGCTTATATTCCTCCCTACATAATAGATACTGCATAGTCCATTCACATTGAACTGAAGTCAGCCTCAGCACCTGTTCTTCCTAAAACGCTCCTATTATGATAATTCGCAGGTTTATATTTTTATTTCAGTAGTGCTACAGTTGTGTTTCACTCTTTGTCTTAATTCCTTGCTTTAGCTCTTATTCTTTTGGAGCATGTGGCTCCAATAGAACAAAACAAAAAAACAGAGCTTGGACACTGCTAGCACGGGCGCCCACACAAACGCAAATCAGGAGATGAAGCATCGCTGAATATGTTTCCAAACCAACTTCATTCTAAACCAAAGACTAGAAAATATGGTGAAGCATATCTGCCCTTTGGCTTCACCTGCACAAGTGCTGAGGTAGGTCTCCCCTGCAGAATTGGTTTTCCCTTCGTCGGGAGCACGTGCTGGGTTCTTCAAATCGCGAACATTTTTCTTGTAAAACAAAGGGGGCCCAGCAAAAAAAGTTTGGGAACCACTGCATTAGTGTAACTGTACTCTTATAATTTAAGCATAGTTCACAATATAAACTTAACACTGCTTGATCAAACAGGGTACCGATCCTTATCCTAATGAGGACACACACAGGGTGGACTGGTCAGTTAGCAAAGCTGGAATATTTCCTGGTGGCATGAGGGTTGTTTTGGCCTGCTGTGAAAAGTCAACTTGATCAGTAAACAGTTTACAAACCGCGACCCTCTCAGCCACACACTCTCCAATCCTCATGGCACACAGGTGTATTAGCTAATGACACGTAAATGAATGTAGGTCAGCAATCCCTACTCACTACAATGCAGACAACATGTTGATCGGACAATAAGGAAAAGTGGAGGAGAGAGATAGAAAATAAAAAAATATATATTTAAAAAACAGATTAAATGCTGAAAAACAAATTCCATTTAGTGCCCAGATCAGGTGAAAACATGAGTTTTACATGACTGATCTCAGTGAGTGTGTGTACGAAGCAGCCTTAATATCATTGACCAAA